CAATGCTGTCAGTGATAGGATAGTATCCATATGCCTACAAGGAAGACCAGTTAATATTACTATTATTCAAATGTATGCACCAACCACCAAAGTCAAAGACAAGGAAACTGAAGATTTTTTACCAACTTCTGCAGTCTGAAATTGACCAAACATGCAATCAAGATGTATTGATTATTACTGGTGATTGGAAAGCAAAAGTTGGAAACAAAGAAGAATCACCAGTAGTTGGAAAATATGGCCTTGGTGATAGAAATGATGCTGGAGATTGCATGATAGAATTTTGCAAGACCAATGACTTATTCATTGGAAATACCTTGTTTCAACAACACAAACAACAGCTATACACATGGACTTCACCAGATGGAATACACAGGAATCAGATCGACTACATCTGTGGGAAGAGGAGATGGAGAAGCTCAATATGCGAGGAGCTGACTGTGGGACAGACCATCAATTACTCAAGTTCACATTGAAACTGAAGCAAATTAAAACAAGTCCATGAGAGCCAAAATATGAGTTTGATTGTATCCTACCTGAATTTAGAGACCATCTGAAGAATAGATTAGATGGACTGAAGACCAGTGACTGAAAACTAGACAAATTATGGGATGACATCAAGAACATCATCCATGAAGATAGCAAAAGGTCATTAAAAAGACGGGAAAGGAAGAAAAGACAAAAATGGATGTCAGAAGAGACTCTGAAACTTGCTCTTGAATGGAGAGTACCAAAAGCAGATGGAAGAAATGACAAGATAAAAGAGCTGAACAGAAGATTTCAAAGAGCAGCTCGAGAAGACAAAGTCAATTATTATACTGAAGTGTGCATAGACCTGGAGTCAGAAAACCAAAAGGGAAGAACACACTCAGTGTTTCTCAAGCTGAAAGAATTGAAGAAAACATTCAAGCCTAAAGTTGCAATATTGAAAGATTCTATGGGCAAAATATTGACTGATGCAGGAAACATAAAAGAAGATGGAAGGAATACACAGAGTCACTGTACCAAAAAGAATTAGTCGATGTTCATCCATTTCAAGAGGTGGCATATGATCAAGAACCGATAGTACTGAAGGAAGAAGTCAAAGCTGCACTGAAGGAATTGGTGAAAAGCATGTCTCCAGGAATTGACAGAATACTCCCTGAAATGTTTCAACAAATGGATACCATGCTGGAGGCACTTACTAGTCTATGCCAAGAAATGTGGAAGATAGCTACCTGGCCAAGTGACTGGAAGAGATCCATATTTATACTCATTCCAAAGAAAGGTGATCCCACAGAATGTGGAAATTATTGAACAATATCATTAATATCACACTCAAGTAAAATCTTACTGAAGATAATTTAAAAAGTGGTTGCAGCAGAATATTGACTGAGAACTTCCAGAAATGCAAGCTGGATTCATAAGAAGACATGGAATGAGGGATATCATCACTGATGTCAGATGGATCTTGGCTGAAAGCAGAGAATACCAAAAAGATGTTTACTTGTGTTTTATTGACCATGCAAAAGCATTCCATTGTGTGGATCATAACAAACTACAGATAACATTGAGAAGAATGGGAATTCCATAACACTTAATTGTGTTCATGAGGAACCTGTACATAGATCAGGAGGTTGTCATTCAAACAAAACAAGGGGACACTGCATGGTTTAAAATCAGAAAGGTTGTGTCAGGGCTGTATCCTTTCACCACACATATTTAATCTGTATGCTAAGCAAATAATCAGAGAAGCTGGCCTATATGAAGAGTGTGGCATCAGGATTGGAAGGCTCATTAACAACCTGCGATATGCAGACTACACATCTTGCTTGCTGAAAGTGAAGGTGACTTGAAGCACTTACTGATGAAAATTAAGGACTACACTCTACAGTATGGATTAAACCTCAACATAAAGAAAATGAATATTCTCAGAACTGGACCAATAAGCAGCATCACAATTAATGGAGAAAAGACTGAAATTGTCAAAGATTTCATATTACTTGGTTCTGCAGTTAAAACCCATGGAAGCAGCAGTCAAGCAATCAGGCAATGTACTGCACTGGTTAAATCTGCTGCAGGAGACATCTTTAAAGGACAAAGATGTCACTTTGAAGACTAAAGTGTGCCTAACTCAACTCATGGTGTTGGTGTTTCCAATTACCTCATATGCCTGTGAAAGCTGGACAACAAATAAGGAAGACCGAAAAAGAGTTGAAGCTTTTGAGTTGTGGTGTTGGCAAAGAATACTGAAAGTACCATGGAACTGCCGAAAGAACGAACCAATTTGTCCTGGAAGAAGTACAGCCGGAATGCTCCTTGGAAGTGAGAATGGCCAGACTTGGTCTCATCTATTTTGGTCATGTTGTCAGAAGGGATCATTCCCTGGAGAAAGATACCATACTTGGTAAAGTGGAGGGTCAGCGAAAAAGGAGAAGGCCCTCAATAAGACGGATTAATGCAGTGGCTGCAATGATCTGTTCAGGTGTAGTAAGGACTGTGAGGCTGGTGCAGGTTCGGGCAGGGTTTCATTCTGTTGTATACAGAGTCACTATGACAGCACCTAACAACAACAACAACAACAACAATAACAGATTAACTAAGACAGATATTAATCAGAACTCGTGTTTAAGTTGGAACATTTATATCCAGAGTTAACTGCCTATTTCTAGAATGAACAATTTAATAGGTTTGAAATTCCTTTTAGGCATCCAGGTAAAGTTATCATCTAGCTTCTGAAATAATCTGGTTAACTGAGAGTGTGAAAATCAGATCTGAAATGTTGAGGGGTAGGAATGTCATATAAAAGAAGGTTGTGTGGCTTTTTTTTTTTTTTGTAAGGAATAAACTTACAAAGTACAAGGTACTGTAATATGTTTGTTATGTTCTTAGTGTTTAGTAGTCTCTGCCAGTGCTTTCCTAGTGGTGGGCAGATCTCTAAATTAATGGGCTACTTTTTAAATAATATAATTTTAAATTTATTTCATTTGAAATAGGAAACTTCTCACCTTCCAGAGTAGTTTAAGATTTACCCAAGATGTCCTCTGTGGGAAAAGGTCAGAAGTCTGCACAGGCTGTGGGTTCTAAGTGCCAGCTGTAGGCATTTAAAAGGCTTTCCTATTGGGCTTAGTTCTAGAGGGATTTTTAGGGTGGAAGAAGTCAGGTTACATTGGATCTTGCAGAAGTAGATCCAAAAAATTGTTATCTT